TAACAACTTTGAGCCATGAGGTTCAATAATGTAAATTATATATAACCAAACATCCACATATATATCAGATGGAATCTAAATGATTCTGCCGCATCTGCTTCATATTATCTTGAAAGTCCCAACTCTTTTAACAACCTGTGAATAGGAGAACTACATAAAATATTTAGCACCATAAACATGACCTACTTCAATAAATAACAGTAAATTGTGAAGTAAAAAGAAGTACAAAGGTCGCCACCATCTGTTTACAGGATAAGGATGCAGTTCAGAAGATCAAGTGTTCAATCCCATGTATTGGTTGGCATCTTCTGTTGTCATCAATCTACTCGGGCATGGACAGCGGAGGAACTCCAAGAAATGTTCTACTGTTGTCAATCAAATGTAAAAAAAAAGACAGCATGAAACATGCAAAACTGCAGCCTCTTGACGGTCAAAATCTGTTTGAGACAACACAAGATAAACACCATATCTCTACTCCTAGAGACAGTGCTATTGCAGGACTTCATGAGAGGGACATGGTAAGCTACTATCAGAATCCTCTTATTATCGTTGAGAGATCTTGCATGTTTTTTTTTTTAATCTTTTATAGATCTTACTACATCATTCCTTTACAATTCCTTTTGTAAAGGTTAAGTGGTGAAAAAGAGTTTTGACCCCAGGACCTTACAGTGATCTAACAAAGTCTTCATGACTAAATTAATTATAGATAATGTTTCCAACCCTCAAAATATGACAAATGAGTCTAGTACACCATCATCACTTGAAGTTCTGAGACCCATCAGATGATTTTTAAGATATAAATTGAGTTGGGTAAGCAAATCTCCAATTTTCAGCTGGGAGAAAGGTCAAAAGATAGGATGGAATTCTTATCTTTAGGGTCTCTACAGAATGCATAGTAATCAATCAAGTCTTCAACTGATTCTGAACCAATTGAATGCAGCTTCGAGTTCCTCTAATTAACTCTCCTTTCACTTCCTTCTTTAACCTCTAAATAATTTAGTTCTGTTATCATTTCCCTTTGGTATGCTGTGACTAGTCTGCTATCTGGTCCTACCCCCTTCAGTGGACCAGACATGTTGCCAATTTACTTCACTACAG